AACAATTATCGTATTAAATATTTTATTTCCTGTGCTGTTATGAAAGAAGCCAAAGATCAGCTTAAACAGTTACCAGGGAATAAAATGTTATAATGTAAAAGGCACAAACAGTATAGATCTACCTCCATGCCAGAAGTTTTACCTAAATTGGAGAGCAAGCCCAAGACTGATGTCTTTTTAGATTGCTGCATTCTGAATTGTTGAAGCGACAACTTCCCAGTTCCAACAACTGTGCTGAGCATATTTAAGACTACTGTGAAAAATATAGAACATTCAAATTCCCCTCAAGCTGCTCGTACATGTCCAGGATTAACTGTTTGTTCACGTTAATTCACTGAAATGAAGTACTCATTTCTTATTGTTTATTAATTTAAGAAATTAAATAATTAACTTAAATATATTTAAGTCATTCAAAAGTTACTTTGGAAAGTAATTTTTAAACCTATGATCCTGAAATCATATTCCAACTGAAACAAAGTTGCGCTGCAACCAGCTCATCCCTCCACTGAACTAAACATGACTAAGAAAGCTTCCATATTAACTCCCCAGAATACAGACTTTCTGTGCAGCACCAGACAAGTCTGTGCTACAACATAATGCTTAGACATTTGCTATGATTGAAAAGGGTTTATTTTTTTACACATACTTTCCTTCCAGGATGATGTACATGATGTAAACATCTGTCAATCTCAGCAAAGTGAATTACTAGATCATTTACTATACACCTAATTTTCAAGTAAACACAGATCACCTCTTTCAAGATTTACTATCAAAACCTGAAACCACTCCTTTTAGTGGTATCAAATTGATAAGGATTTAGGAACATATTTGCAATGAAAAGTGCTACAGGACGGATCCCACAGTATTTATTTACTAAAAATAATAGTGGATACAAATGACTAATGCATATTTCAGGCATGCCAAACATGATATACTTAATAACAATGTGTTCTTGACGTCCTTGAAGAGCAAGGTTGACCTCCTGAAAAACAAGAATCTTCCCTTTAGAGCTGTTTGCTAAAATATTTCATCATCTCAAAAACAGAAATAACAATTCTAAGTTGCTACATAATAAGAAAAAACAGAATTATCTTCTGCAGTCATCCCTAACTGCTCTATTCCCCCTTAACCTCAAATCAATCTCTGCCACCCTGAGAAGCAGGACTGTGACTAAAGGCAAGTAATGAGCAGCTGGCAAATCTGTAAGCAAAACAAAAATATTTTCCATCTAAATATTCTTATAATAAAAAGTGCAAATATAGACATTTCATTTGTCCTTAAGTTTTATTCATGTAGTATCAGTGTCCAGCAAATATTTATCTATACAGAAGAATAACAGCTTAACTATAGCTATGCTATTACTGCAGGTCAACAAAGCCGGTGGAAATGCGTCCGTATGCATGCCCACACTCTGTGTAAACCTGGCTTATATTGATTTAGACTGCAAAATCCTACCTTCAGACAAATAGGAACAAACTGTGTATACATCAAGCCTGAATGGCATAAAGAATCTTGTTAATAATTCTAATGTAGATTTGCTTTTGTATATCATTAGCACACCGTTTTGCCCTAAGAAGTTAACAGAAAATACTGCATGACAGCATTCATTGTACACAATGTCTGCAAAAGACAAAAAACTGGCACTTGTGTCCAATCTTAATCATTAATGCCCTTTGAATCTTCCATAATAGTGATAGAGTGGGGGAAAAAGTGTAACAGGAATATAGTATTTGTTGACCACAGCATTTTGCTGACTTTCACAAAAACTGAGCTGTGAAGGCAGGACTGCTTCCCTCACTATCCTATGCCCCCAGCAGCCAGCTACACCGAGTATACCTGAAACTCCCTCCTTCCCTTCCATTCCTCCAGGCACAGCAGGACAAGGCAAGCCAGAGAGACTGTACGTTACAGCTACCACAACACAGCAGAAGCACCTGGTCACAAATACTGTGTACATCTAGGATCACGTTCCTGCAGCTTTTATACTGCCCATTACTAGAATCCACAAGCAGATGTGGTGCACAAAAGTAGTTCACTGAAGTCATAAGAAAGTGCAGAAATTAATTAATTATTTTTTAAAATCAGTAGATACTGTATTGTAAAAGCCCTTAGGCATTCTGGGAAATATACTAATACCACAGGTACTCTTTAACCACTACCTTTGTAAACCAAATATACAGTGAAAACTGTAACTAGGAGCAACTTACTTACTCAACTCATATCAACTGCTGTAATGGAAAATAGCACTAGAAATTTTGCTAGTACTTTTTCCTTCAAACCAACCTTGAGTTACTGCCACAGACTTTGAAATATCATTTGAGTCATGGCATAATAAATCCTCTGCTAGTTTAGCTCTGGCTGGTTTATCTAATAATGAGCTAACTCAAGGTAGAATTCTGGCTTCTAGCCTAGCCTTTTAGAATCTCAGTTTTTCTCTTTTAGGTACGTTCTAGGAAAACAAGCTCTTCTTTGTAGATATTTCTATAAAGTATCCTGACAGCATGTGACAAATTGCCCTGTGACATCAAATGGTATTAAGCCCCACTGAACCAGGTACTACAGGATTTCCAGAATCCTCATGATGAAACCAATTTCTGTTGCAGTAATTCTGTCAGGACAGTTGGGTATGTTTGGGGGTTTTTGTTTGTTTTATTTTGTTTTGTTTGCCTGTTTAATATTTATAATTCTGGTTTTGTACTGAGCACATTCAGGGAAATCACACATTTCTCCACTTGGAACTACTGTGAGAATCAGTCTGAAACATAGAAATACAAGGTGGACGTGCACTTACCACCTACACAAGCCATGCTTTTTTTTGGCAATGTGTTTATGCAATTTTTTTTAAAGAACTCAGATTATATTTTGAGGTTTTTTTTTTATTATTACATATTTATGGTCTTTCTCATGCTGTGGTTGGAAAATTACAAAAATTCCTCTGCCCTATGAGGAGAGACTGAGTGAGTTAGGAGGATCAGGGGGCATCTCATCAGAATTTTCCAGTACTTAAATGGGGGCTAGAAAGAGAATGGAGGCTCTCTCTTTGCAAGGAGCCACATGGACACAACAAGGGGAACTGGGTACAAGTTACACCACAAGAAGATTCATCGTAAGACAAACAAGTGAAAGCACTCAGTCACTGGAACAACCTCCCCAGAGATGTGTTAAGAGTCCCCATCACTGGAGGTTTTTAAGACCTGATTGGGCAGGCTACTAGGTAATTTCATCTAGGTTGCCATTCCCATGAAAAGTAGGACCCAGTGATGTTTTGAGGTCCCTTCCAACCTGGGCTGCTCTATGAGTCTGTGAAAACAAAAAACTTATTTTCCAAGGTTACTGCGGAAATAGCAAACAAGGATTGAGCAGAGAAAAGAATTAGAAAGATCCTAAAAAGACATCAAAAAACAGCAGAATCTAGACAGCTACTGTATCACACTTTTGTTATCAGTTACTTTTGATTTTATTGTATAATGTACTCAGTATGGCAAATGCACATCACACTTGGGTCTTCTACCTTACACTACAAGAAATGACAATTCTATAAAAGTTTGCTAGATGGTGTCTTCTTCACCTCTAATGTAGCGAAAAGTACAAGCAGACACACAGAGGAAGCTGGTGGCTATGGCAACAGTTCAAAGCCTCAAGTGAGTCCTGACATCTAGGAGATGTTGCCTCTCAAAAAGGCAAAAGACATTATCAGTTACCACCTCTCTTGGTAATAATCTCCGTGTTTGAATCTTGGTGGGAAATACAGTCCTCACATCTGATGGCTCTTAGCTCTGTACCTGTAACTGCACGTCATTCAAAACTTGCCCACATATCACTTCAACATTTCTCTTAGTGTGAAATCTAGCTATTATTTTATGTCCTTGCCAAATATAATCTACATTTAGCAGAGTACATTTGTCTATTACCACAGGATCACCTAGGACAACTTGCTCTATTTTTCTGTGATGCAAAATAAAACCCCAAAAACCAATAAAGAGCCTGTCATTAGCAAAACCAGATTGCTAACATAGGTTTATTTTAGGTAACACAATTAATACCTCTGATGCTATCATGCTTTCCAGACACTGGAATTCAACTTTCACTTCCCTTGATGAGATGCCAAGCACTTCGGGAAGATTCTTTCTTACACTAATTCATGCTAAGCATGAACATAATAGAATGTCAAGGAAATAAAATTTAAGAGAAAATATAAAAATGGAATTAGAACAAGCAAACTACATGACCTCAAAGATAAACCTTATATTCTAAAAACTCAGAATACAGGAAAGAAATGTAAATAGACAATGAAGTCTGGTTTTTACTTAAGGAAACTGCAGCTACTACCAGAAAATTCTTCTCTAGCATTAACAAAGGACTCTGAAGTTGAAAATTCAAATAGAAAAAGATCTAAGGAAAAGACCACAACGCACTGGAAGAAGAGTTACACCTCAAAGACGACTAAAAATTTTAAATGAAGGATTCTATTTCACACAGGAAAATATCAGGGGGATTTTTTTTTTTTTTTTACATAAACACTGGCCTCACAAGACATAAAAAACATACAAGATAACATACCACCAAACTGAATGGTTCAAGGACTAACAATACAAGTCTACTTCAATCTTTGTAGTGAAATCAACCCTCATTTAATAACGTCGGACATCATTACAGCATCTTATTATGTTTTGGTGCCATAAGTGATGTGAGTTAAAGTGTAACTAATCACCCACTGACCAAATAATTGCATTGCTCTTGCAACAAGAAAGAGTTACTAGGTTTAGAAAGGTCAGACTTCATTATCTTCCTTCCTCCATGGAGGATGCTTCAGGCTTGCAAAGGAGACAGCACTGCCAAGGAAAGCTGGCAGTACTGGTGTCTCTGCTATGTATGATCTGCAAAAAAGTATTCCAGTCTTTTACACTCTCAATTCACAACCTTTCACCACTACACGTGCTACTTAAAAACACTGCTGAAAACTCAACAATAGAGTATAAAACTGCAGGTGGTGTGCTGCGGACTGGACACAGGCCAGGCAAATCATCACTTTGTTAAGACATGCGGCTTGCTAAGTAGGTATCACAACTGACACCATGGACACCTGATCAGTTGCTCAGTGCACTCTCATAAAATGATTCTGAATTAAGGTTTCTATAGTGGACATCAGCATACTCATATCAGCAGCACAGACCTGGTAATCTTCGTTGCCCTTTTTTTTCAGGGTCTCTAACAGGCCCCAGTGGACTGGAGGGAGAGGGCTGTAAGAACTCAGCAAGTGAAGCTGACTTAATGGATTCTGGTTTATTTCTGCAATCTTCAAGGCCCTCAAGATAGCAGGTGCAAACTTAGAATAATGAGCTGTAGATGAAATAATAATTGGGCAGGTTCTGTCTTGTAATCTATCTGCAACTACTTTAGCGATAGCTGTGTGTGTATCCAAAATATACCCTGTAGTACTGTACACAGAGTGAATGGCGGCCAGGCAGTCTTCCTCAGAGCACCATCCAGCCACAAGGTCTTGCTGAAGCTTTTTGAGTAGATCTTCCTGCAGCTGGAAGTGGCCCTGATTTTCCAGCTGGTTATATAATTGTGTCACCAGCTGTCCATCTTCATTAGCAATCAGGTGCAAGTATCGCTCAAGATTGGAGGACTTCAAAATATCTACTGCTGGTGAAAAAGTTGGGATTAGTTTTCTTCCCCTCAAATCATAAACACCTGTCCTTATGAAGTCGGTCAAAACATTATTTTCATTGGACGCACAAATACATTTTCTAATAGGAATTCCCATCATTTTAGCATACAAAGCAGAGAGTATGTTGCCAAAATTTCCTGTAGGAATGCAAACATCTACAGGGCTTCCAAAAGGAATAACATCTTGATGAACAAGATCAAGGTATGCAGAGGCATGATAAACTATCTGAGGAAGCAGTCGTGCCCAGTTTATGGAGTTTGCTGCAGCTAAAGCTGTTCCATATTCTACTGTAAGAAAGCCAGTATAATCAGAATTAGTAAAGATTTGCTTTATAGCCGTCTGGCAAAAATCAAAATCAGATTTGACACCTACTGACAAGGCATTTTCCTTCTGACAGCCAATCATCTGTGATTTTTGAATTGTGCTTACTCCATCCTCAGGAAAAAAAATCATCACAGCAATTCTCTGTCTGTCAGTGTCATGGAGACGACTAAAGCCATCTAGGACAGCACTTCCTGTGTCACCAGAAGTGGCTACCAGAATCAAGTAATTGCAGCTTCTGGGAATGCAGTATGCAAATATATGTGGCACTAGCTGTAATGCAAAATCTTTAAATGATGCTGTTGGCCCATGAAATAACTCAAGGAGAAACTGATTGCCTGTCAGATGCCTGACTGGGGCAATTTTAGAACATGCAAAGTTTTCTCCATAAGCAGTTTCAATAATTTCTGCCAGCTTAGAAGCAGGAATATCAGCAGGATGTATACATCTTTCTAGTATCACCTGGGCTCTTTCAACATAAGTTGCTTCTATTAGGCTCTGCCATTCTCCAGCAGTGAATTTTGGAAGTCCTTTCTCAGGAACAAAAAGTCCTCCATCAGAGGCTAAGCCCTGCGTAACAACATCACTGAAGTATTTATCAGCGTCTTTTTCCATACTCCTTCCAGACCTACTAGACCTAGTTGAAATGAAAGTTTCCAGTTCTGAGTTTTGGTATCTCTTCACAGCATCAAGTACCTTTTCTGCTGCAACCTCTGCTGTAATATCCCCTCCACAAAGAACACGGATGTCACACCACCTCCTGTAGAACTGCTTCCTAAACTGAAGTATGTCCTTGAGAGAAACACTAGGAGACTGGCCCACAATGCGATCCACTTTCATTGACTTCAGCCTGCTCATAATGACTGTGGTGGGTACATCCAGATAAACAACTATTCCATTTTTCTTCACATGCTGCATGCCAGCAGCATGCATTGGATTGGACCCAGTAAGGGAAATGACACTTCCAGATGCTGAGAACTCCAACAGGGCTTTTCCTTCCTCCTCTAAAAATTGCTCATTACCAACATCCTGCAGTTTTTCCGACACACTCATATTCCAGGTTGTTTCAAGGACATCATCATCTATGTCTATGACAGGGCAATCTAGTTTCTGACCTACTATTCTCCCAACAGTTGTCTTCCCAGCACCCGGAGCTCCCATCAGGATAATATTTTTGTTTCCAACAAGAGAATAGCTTGAGAACCGTGACTTCCATATCTGTGCAAAGGCAACAGGTCTTGAAGGCATCAGTTTTAAACACATGCTAGAAAGACTGGTTTGGGTTATTAGTCTTAAAGGCTGATATTGAACAACTTGAAACATCTTCTGCTGGGCTGTGGAGAGTTTTTGCTTTGGCTTTTTTTCAAGCCAACTTGATAATCCACTTAACTGCTTCAAAAAGAAAAAAGACAGCATTAGCCGTTCAGCAAACATCTGGGAAAAAAGCCTAAATGACAGGAAATTCAGAAAAACAAGAATGCAAACATAAATCCAGTTTTGATTTCATCAGTGCCAGGAAGGTATTTTTCATAGTGAGACTCATTCCCCTCTCCTGCATAGCTCACTTCCACTGTCAAATCTAACCTCAAGCAGTCCATGTTCTCAGGGTAAACAAGGACATCCAAACCTAAGATGACACAACTGTTTGCAAATAATAATGTTTAAAGGAATTCAAAACCAATCAGTTTTTCCTTTCATAGACTTACTTTTAAGACTCATAGACTAGTTAGGGTTGGAAAGGACCTTAAGATCATCTAGTTCCAACCCCCCAGCCATAGGCAAGGACACCTTGCACTGTGCCACCCAAGACTCCATCCAACCTGGCCTTGAACACTGCCATGGATGGAGTATTCACAACTTCCTGGGCAACAAACACATTTACAAATAACAAAAATGAACTAAATTACCTTCTCATAAGCAAAATGTTAACAAAATATGCATCTGCCTTCCCAACATACCACTGATTTCTTATACTTGTTTTTAAAAAGAATAAAATGCAAGACTCACTTAAATACACAGAAAAAGCAGAGGCTTGTGCACAGCAAGGCTGGAAAAGTTGCATCCAATTCTCCTCTGGAGGGATGGCAAACCAAGTGATTTGTGAAGAGCTCCTGTAATAGCATTATACTGAGTGTGGTTTGTGTAAAGCAGGAGAGAGAGAGAAAAAACACATCATGAAGACACTCTACCCTTAAAACAAACAAAAAAGGTCACTACAAAAGTTGGATCTCCAACAAAGTTTAAGCAAGCAGCTCTCAATACTGTACTGTTTGCTTAGAGAAATCAATGTGTATCAGCACGAACTGCAACACATGATTGGTGTGTGATGTTTCAGGCAAAATCTCCATGAAAATCAGGAAGAAGAGGGGGGTGAAATAAGCACGAATTTGCACAGAAAACCCTTATTTTTTTTCATTTTAGGCAGGCTATTGGTATAGACACAAAGTTTGCAACAACACAACATGTGATTCGAATTCAGTAACCAAACAAGCCAGTGGCAGTTTGCAGCTGCCAAAGACCTCAAGGTAGGTCAAGGCTGATAATTACCGTAGTTCAAATCTGTTAACACGGGACAACTTCCATCGACTTCTCTCAGAACTTTTATGTAGAGAAAAAAAAAAACACACCTAAATCCCAAAGCAAACCACTCAACTTCACCCATCCCACAGACCAAGCTCCTGCACTGTTCTGAGGCCCCGAAGGCGTCAAAAGTGCGATGGGAGGAAGGGGCCGGGCCGCGCCACGCCGCACGGCAGAAAGGTGGCACCACAGAGCCGAGTCAGTCGTACCCTCCCACCCGGCCAACTCCCACCTCCCGTCGGGAGCAGCAGCCCTGCAGGCTCGGCTCGGCTCGGCCTCGCTCCCGTACCTACCTGCACAGGCAATAACCAGCTGCCACAGGTACCGCGCCTGCCCGCCCCCAGCCTCCCCTTCCCCACTCCCCTCCACGCGCACGCGCAGACATCTGCCGGACCCGCCCCCCCAGCCGCGACCCCGCCCTCAGCCTTGACGCAGGCGCATTCAGGCCGCCCGGCGCCCCTGGATTCTGCGCTGCCGGCCTCACTTCCCGAGTTGCGCCTGCGCGGGGCCGGGCGCTGCTCGGAGCTGGTGCGCCTGCGCTGTTTCACGGGCCCTAGCGCCTGCCGCCGGGGGAGAGGCGGAAGCGTGGTGGCGTAGGTTCCGCCCCCTCATGGCGCTGTTGCCTAGCAGCGGTTTCCCCGGTAACCGCGAGACAACAAGCGTGTCGGCCCGTGCGGAGGAGGGCGAGGAGCGGCGTCCGGGAGCTGCGAACGGCGAGGGGACGCTAGCGGGGTCCCCATGTTCGGGTCCTCCCCGCCAGGCGGGCGCTTCTCTGTGTCCGGCCGCAGGGCGAAGAAGCCGTATGCCGAGGAGAGTATTAGTAACCTCCTGCCCCTCCTGGAGGAGAAGCCTGTCAAACCTCCCAGGTAGGTGGGTACCGCAGTGCCATTTGCACACAGGGTGACTTGTGCTGGGAAGGCAATGCTTCTCACTGGTAACAGGTAGTTTAAGGAAACCAAACTAGTCTTTGCACACTTATTGCTCCTCCCAATGAGTCACTAACAAACATCTGCGGATTTACAGCCTGCTCCGTGAGCTGATGATTCAGTTTGGTGAATGCCATCTTATTCATTGACAAAGAATTTGCAAAGCACTCTGTCCACACAGGGGAATTACATGACATCCTTGTCACTCACACACAATTTTTTCAGTGAGCAGCTGGCAAGTTGGCTTTTTAAATTTTTTTTTTTTTTCAGTGTCACTCTTTCATTCCTTTCATGTGTTAGGTGTCTCTTCTGACATTGCTGCTTTGCTTCTCTTTCTTACCCCTTACAAACATAGAATCAGCATCAAACATAAATCTTTCTTACCTTAGAAATATTTTTAAAAAGCCTTTTGCCCCCTCTAGTATTAATTCTTTTGAGAGCTTTGGTAAAATTCTTATTTGATATTATGGAAACATGTTTTCTCAAGTCCCTATTACATTATATGAAACAAAGGTGTTACAGTTAGCATTTTCAGAGAAAGTTTAAAGTAGGTCATAATAGCTTGAAGATGAGTAGAAATATCAGTGACACTCGTTAGAACAAAGATAATTATCCCCTTTCAAGTAAAAGGGTTCAGACTTGTGAGATTCTCAGTTATGAACCTTTTCCATGTAAAAATAGCTCGTACATCTTTTTTTGTTTCCAATGTAAATGAAAGATGCCTTTGGCAGGCAGAGGAAAGTGAAATGACAGTATGGCAAGGCACACAGCACACTAAATCCACTCCTCTCCTAATCCTATTCAGGGATTTGGAGACTCCATGACCATCAGGTTCAGTTTAGGCAAGAGATTCCTTAGGTTGGGTACAATCTGACTAAATCCCCTTCTGATCTCATTGACTTCTGTTGTCATCCCACTTTTGGCTTTGCTTCACAATGTGCCCAATATCCAGCTGGTAACAACAGTGTTGAACCTGGTTAATAGTGTGATCTGACCAGTTTCAACTAATGCATACAGAATTTAGGGTCTTAAGAAAAATAATAAAAAAAATCATATATGTTTCACTCTGAACTGGCCAGTTTCACGCTACTAATGAAACCACAGCAAACATCCCCATTTCCCCAACTTTGATGTCCCAAGCTGCCACCTAGAAGAGTAAGTCTTTTTTCCCCTTGGCATATAATAAGTGGGTTAAGGTTCTGAAGTCCCCCATGATCATGTTTTTTTCCTGCCAACACTCTCTAACCCTATGATAGTGGTGTATGACAACATTTAGCCACTTTCTTGGCCTAAGAAGTCACTGAGAAGTTACAACTGCTACATCCCTTTGTCCAAAGGAATGCCTGTAGCTGTCTACAAAGACACCTTTACCGTATGCCAATATGTAGTAAACTGAATATCTTCTCATTCACTTTTGCATTCCAAGGCTGTGTGAACCCTGGTAGGTCAAACTCCTCATGAAGTCACTACCTTTCTCTACTGTGTGGCTACAATGCAACCCCTAGCAAATGGTGAGAAGTGTAATGATTTATGAATGTGGGGGGTTTGTGCCTATGTCTATAGCTGTTTACCAGGAACTTAACAGAAAAAAAAAAAAAGCCCAAACAAATAAAATCTCATTCCTTATAATTAGAGGTATTTCTGGAATTATATATATATTATGTACATAATCCTCTTTCTGACTTTGGACACCAAATCTCCATAAGACAACATTACTCCGCATTTTCAGTAAGTCCAATACAAATACATCCATTGGACATTTGCAGCTAACATACGAAACCTTTTATCACTGTTGCTAATATGATTCCCCATTCACTAGCTCATCATTACACTGTTTCTTTCAAACTGTTTCATTACTTGTGTAAGATAGGTTGTACTATGGATTTTTTTTCTTACATGAAAACATGATTTTTTTTTTTCCATAAACACATTTTTTTTTTCTGTGAAAGAAAAGCACAATTGTTCATCAGCTTTTGCCCTCCATAAATTAATCTCACATTTTACCTAAAGATGGGCAGATTTTAAAAGGTACAATGAGGTAGCCTTAGCCTTAGGAGCAGGAAGTTCTGCTCCCTAAGAAAAACATCTGTGACAGCTCAGTCCTTCAGATAGATTCAAGATGCTGTTAGCAAGCTAATGATCAGCATTTGGCTTCTTTTGGGGAACACGTTTGCATGCTTTTGATTAAAGTAGAAGTCACAGTGCCATATGCAACACTAAATGAAAAGAGCAGCGTGTGCTTACTGCATGTGTACATCTTTTCATGTCTGAGGCCTTACCAATTTTCACATTAGCCGTTTCAGTTTGTGCCAAACCCACCGCTGATTACAATAGCTCGGGACCATAGTTTGAATCTATTTAATATAAGAAATACACAGTTTGCTGGGCTATTTTAGAGCAGTCATCCATCTCATCTAGTAACTTACAGTACAGACGGTTCAACAGGAACATTGAGACAATGATACAGTGGACAGTCAGTAATGAGATACTTTTTTCATACTACAAACAAGTACAGAAAATTAGCAAAGTAGGTTCATTATTATTATTTTCCTGTAGATGCACAACAGCTTTATATTTTGGTTGTGGTTTTGGACAGAACAAATACCCACATTAAAAAAAACTTCTCAAAATTGAGTGTATTAGAAAATAAAGACCAAAGTTTGTAATGCACAACATCAAAATTAAGTCATGCAAGCAATAGTCAAAGCAGTTTATTTCCAGAATTTAGGTTTTGTTGAGTTTCAAATGTCTGTTTCGGTACCTATATGAACAGTGCATGCAGGAACCATTCCATAAGTGTGATATTACTGACCCTGGAGACGCGAGAAGGAGGAAGAAGCAAGCTGACTTCAGAATCAAAGAAGCCACTTGTCAGTGCAGTCCTGGGCTTAGCCTTAGTATGAAAGTTGTATGAGTGATGGCCTTTATTTGGGAGAGACTACAAAACAAAATAGCTTACAGCTTTTGGCATGAACTATTGCAAAAATATGCATTCTTTTGAGAGGACTTTTAATAATTTTCTGACCCTTAACTTCTTTATGGCTATTTTTTAATGTTTAAGGTATGTATCCATATATAGACCATCTGTGAAGTGTGAAGCAGAGAAAAACAAAGCTCAGTGGAAAACTATGGGACCAGCAAAAGTTGCAGTGCCATCTCCAAAAAATTTTCTGCAGAAACATTCAAAGGAACTCAAGCTACCAGCAAGTGAGTGTAGACATAAAATACATGGAATGTAATTTTTTATTATTGTTATTTTAAAACTGATAATATAAGTGTTGAAAGTAACAGTTACAGAGAATCTTTTTTTTTATTATTTTTAAAATAATTTTTGTATGCTGGGATAGTTTCTATTGTTTCTTTTATGGTACTTATCAAAAATATTTTTTTATTTTACAAAAATGTTTCTTATTGTGCAAAATACTGAAACAAACAACAAGGAGATTATATATGTGATTAGAAAATACAGTAAGTATTTACTGCCATGCAGTACAAAACCAGCTGAAACAAAGAAAAATTCTCTCTCTCTTGGCTGCAGCTATCCAGATGTTGAAGATGTGTTGTTGGTATGTTCTATCTTGCTGACATTTCAATTTGTAATTATATAGTATAGATTTGCATGACTTTTCTGCAACTGATCATTAATATTAAAGTAAATAATATGAAGGGGAGTATTAAAGTGAAATAATTGTTTTTAATGCTTAAAGAGGTACAGGAAAAAATGTATGCCTTTCTGAATGTTATAAGCTTCATACAGC